TTGTAATATTATCCTTTTCTCTGTCCATGGAAAATGTCCTGTTATAGAGGTAGTGGTAAACTCCATAGGGTTCTAAGATTCACATGTATCCCCAGCAGCTGAAGAAGTAATTGGTCATTGCTCCTCAAAGACCACTGCCAGCCATTTTTATCATGCATCTTTCTGAAGAGCTTCTATAAATTTGTCTTGGCATCAAATAGGGATTTCATTATGTCATGTGATTTTTTTTTTTTTTTAATCCTAAAGAATCGATTGTGTTTTCAAGGCTGTGTTTTCTGGGACTCTCCATCTCTCTAAATTCCATTCTCTTGCTCTCTGTGCCTTAGCTAGTGAAATGTAACTCTTGTCAATCCCATCCCCTCCCGCTCACGTTTCTGCACAACCCACGGTAAAAGCGAGTTCATCTGGAGCTGCTTTAGTCATAACCACAGCCTTCTCTTCTCACTCCTTCAAATCTCACACCAAGATTTGTGGCTTCACCCAGATGGTAGCTGTGGTTGATTAAGGCAAATAAGTATTGATAATTAATATTAATTGGTTTCTAAAATACTTTTTTTCTTCAGTTTGAATGGAAGCTCAGCATTTTGTTAGAATGCAGTATTTTGCCTTCTTCCACAGCATGCAAATTGATTGATAAAAAGCACTCCATTTTCTACACTTTAGAACTTGTGGTCCAGCTGCCCAGTTTCTTCCAATCCCAGCTCAGCTTAGTATGTTAGCTAAAAGTATAATAAATTCTGAGCTGTAATAAGATGATTCTTTCTGACATGAGTTTTCTGAAAAAAGAAATAGTATATCCAGCCAACACTACGGAAGAGGTTCAGACATGCACATTTACTGCCTGTGTAAATATATACACACAGCTCATCTCACACTAGTTATGTGACTTTAGGCAAGTTACCTGATCTCCTTAAATTTCATTTTCCTCATTGAAGAAGTGGCTATTAATATTTGTTCTGTCTTCTTGACAGGATTGTTATAAAATCAAATGAGAAAGTACTTGTTTGTCCAAGTACAAAACAAATGTAAATATACTCAAATTAAAATGCAGTGAAAGTCTCAAATATTTCAAATATCCAAGGTGACATGGAGAAATGACGTTAGGACAGAGGAGCCCATGAGAGTTGTGTGTATCATGATCTGGTTTTTCCCATCTTATTAAACAGGGTGCATTAGCTCAGGAGAACTTTCTTTAGCTTGGAAGTACTTTTATTTTACCAGCTTTATTGAGACACATACCATGCACTTCACCAAGTGAAGTTGCACAATTCACTGTTTTTAATGTATTCACAGAATTGTTTGATCCTCACAATCAATTTTAGAACACTTACATCAATCCCCCCCAAATTTCCAAACTCATTAACAGCCACTCCCCATTTCCCCCAAACCCTCCAGTACTAGGCAACCACTAATCTACTTTCTGTCTCTATACATGTACCTATTATGGACATTTCATATAAATAGAATCATATCCAATATGTGGTATTTTTTGACTGGCTTCTTTCACTTAGCAATGTTCCCCAGGTTCACTTATGTTTTAGTATATATCAAAATTTCATTCCTTTTTTATGGCCAAGAGATATTTCATTACATGGATATACTACATTTTGTTTATTCATACATCAGTTGATAGACGTTTAGGTTGTTTCCGTTTTTTTTGGCTATTATGAATAGCACTGCTATAAACATTTGTGTACAAGTTTTTATGTGAATAGATGTTTTCATTTCTCTTGGATAAGGTTATACCTAAGAGTAGAATTGCTGGATCCTCTGGTAACTCTGTGTTTCATTACATCCTCACCAGCGATGTATGAGAGTTTCAGTTTCTCCACATCCTCGTCAGCATTTGTTATTATCTACATGTTTTTCATTTTAGCCATCCTAGGATATGAAGTGATGTCTCATTGTGGCTTTGATTTGTATTCCCTTAATAAATAATGATGTTAAGCATCTTTTCATCTGCTTCTTGGTCATTTCTGTATCTTATTTGGAGAAATTTCTATTCAAATATTTGCTATTTTTCAATTGGGTTGTTTTTATTGTTGTTCTTTATATATTCTGATACAAGTCCTTTATCAGATATTTACAAATAGTTTTTAATCTTTGGGTTATCTTTCTTTATGGTGTTCTTTGAGGCACAAAAGTAGATGAACTCCAGTTTAACTGTTTTTTCTTCTGTTGCTTATGCTTTCGGTGTCATATCTAAGAAACCATTGCCTAATTACAAAGTCTTAAAGATTTACTCCTGTTATCTTCTAAGAGCTCTATAGTTGTAGCTATTACGTTTAGATCATAGTTCTGTAATTCATTTTGAGTTATTTTTTGTATATGGTATGATAGTGGTCCATTCTTATTCTTTTGCATGTGGATATCCAGTTGCTCCAGCACCGTTTGTTGAAAAGACTATTCTTTTCCTCAATGAATTATCCTGGCACCCTGTTAAAAATCACTAAATATGAGAGTTTGTTTCTGAACTCTTAATCAATTCCACTGAACTGTATATTTATCCTGATGTCAGTACTACAGTGTCTTGATTACTGTAGCATTGTAGTATGTCTTGAAATCAGAAAGTGTGAGTCCTCTAGCTTTGTTCTTCTTTTCAAGGTTGTTTTGGCAGTTCTGGGTTCCTCACATTTCCATATGAGTTTTAGGATTGGCTTGTCAGTTTTTACAAAAGAACCAAGTAGGATTTTGATAGAGATTGCAATGAAAATATAGATCAATTTGGGGAATATTTTCACCTTAACAATATTATCTTTCAGTCCATGAACATGGAATATATTTTCATTTATTTAGGCCTTCTTTACTTTCTTTGAACAATGCTTTTTAGTTTTTAAAGTACAAGCTTTGTGCTTCATTTATTAAATTTATTGCTAAATATTTTATTCTTTTGAATGCTACTGTGAATGGAATTTTTTTAAACTTCATTTTCAGATTGTTCTTTGCTAGTGTGTAGATATACAATTTCTTTGAGTTGCAGTTGTACCCTGAAATCTTGCCGAACTTTTTGTTCACTAGTTTTTTAGTAGATTCTTTAGAATCTTTTAAAATTCAAGATCATGTCATCTGCAAGTAGAGAGAGTTTTCCTACTTACTTTATCATATGCGTGATTTATTTTTAAAATTTATTTATTTTGGGGTGTGTTGGGTCTTTGTTGCTGTGCACAGGCTTTCCCTAGTTGCAGCGAGCAGGGGCTAGTCTTTTTTTTTTTTTTTTTTTTGTGGTGCGTGGGCCTCTCACTGTTGCGGCCTCTCCCGTTGCGGAGCACAGGCTCCAGACGCGCAGGCTCAGCGGCCATGGCTCACGGGCCCAGCCGCTCCGCGGCATGTGGGATCTTCCCGGACCGGGGCACGAACCCGTGTCCCCTGCATCGGCAGGCAGACTCAACCACTGCGCCACCAGGGAAGCTCAGGGGCTACTCTTCGTTGTGGTGCGCGGGCTTCTCTTGTTGCAGAGCACGGGCGCTAGGCGTGTGGTCAGTAGTTGTGGCTCGCAGGCTCTAGAGCGCAGGCTCAGTAGTTGTGGCGCACGGGCTTAGTTGCTCCGCGGCATATGGGCTCTTCCCGGACCAGGGATCGAACCCATGTCCCCTGCATTGGCAGACGGATTCTTAACCACTGCCTCACCAGGGAAGCCCGTGTGCTTTTTATGTCTTTTTGTTGCCTATGTGCCCTGGCTGGAGCCTCCAGTACAAAGTTGAATCGAAGTGGTGAGAGTGAACATCGTTGTCTTGTTCCTGATTTAAAGGGGAAAGCATTCACCCTTTCACTATTAAGTATGATGCTGGCTGTGGGTTTTTCATAGATGCCACTTATCAAGCTGCTGTTTAACAACTTCCACTCCTAAGTTATTGAACGTTTTTATCATGAAAGGGTGTTGAATTCTGTCAAATATCTTTTCTATGTCAACTGAGATGATCCTGTGGTTTTTTTCCTTTATTCTATAGACATGTTGTATTACATTAATTGATTTTTGGATGTTAAACCAACCTTGCATTCTTGGAATAAATCCCACTTGGTATATAATCTCTTATATGTTGCTGGATTCAGTCAGCTAGTATTTTTTTTTTGAGAATTTTTTTATCTCTGTGTTTATAAGAGATAGTTTTCTTTTTCTTGTGATGTCTTTGTCTGGTGGGAGTTCTTTTAAGTCAACCAAAATTAGAGTTAAGAAATGGATTTAGTGAGAGTGTTTTAGGGCAGAGAAACAATTTAAAATCATTGGTGTCATTATGAGAATTGTTAAGTGCAGGGCTTTGAGTCCTTAGCAGAACATAGCCTTGAAACATAATGGAAGGAGTACAAGGTTTTAGTTGAAGAGCTACTGTTTTTGCTTCTATCATTTGCTAAATGTGTGACTTTGAGCAAATTACCCAGGATTTCCTTACTTCTGCACTCAGGATAAGTATTTCTACATCAGACCTTTGTTATTGGGATTAAGTGAGGTAATGCATGTAGAAAGTGTTTTTTTAAAGGCCAAGCACTATTATAATTACAGATTGTTAAACAGGATAGAAAAAAGAATTTAGGAGAAAACACTGGAGAAACAGAAGAACATAACCTCTTAAAAGGCCTAAATAAATTTTTTGAGGCAGAACAAAACCTAATGTGGAGGCAGGATCATTACTTGAGGGTAGAGAATGATTTAACAAAACAAACGTTTTGTTTCACAAAAAATCTTTTTAAAGCACAAATCAGAAATGTGTTTCATGGTCACATGGTTACTTTTATTTGGGATAAGGGGACGCCAGTGTAGATTTTACTAAGAGGAATTTCGATTCCTTGGTATGATGAGAATAGTGATGTGTTTTATTTATTTTATTCTACTTTACTTTGCATTGCTTTGTTGCTTCTGTTGTAAAAAATTATATTGAGTGTAGTAAATTTCCATCAAATTTTAACCTGCTGTCAGACAGTATTTTCTAGAGGCTGTTTGAAAAATATGAAAGGACACCAGAGAAATGACTTTGAATCTGCCATGTTTGTTTTAACTCCTTTAGAAACAAAGCCAGCCTGTGTATTCAACAATGTGGAGTATAGCGATGGGGATATGTTTCGAATGGACAACTGTCGGTTCTGTCGATGCCAAGGGGGTGTTTCCATCTGCTTCACCGCCCAGTGTGGTGAGCTGAACTGCGAGAGATACTATGTGCCCGAAGGGGAGTGCTGCCCTGTGTGTGAAGGTAAGGACAGGTGCCAATCAGAGAATAATAAGAAGAGACATGGTTTGGGGACTTAATATCACAGTTGACCTACTTCAGTCTCACTCCAAAATAGAGGAAGATTGAAGAAGTTCCCGTTTTTTGTCACCATGGTCTACCTTTTAGCACTTCGATAATGCTAGGTAGACTGTGTGAAACTGTCAATACTTCCCTGAGGGAAGTTACACCCTGGGTGCAGACAGCGGTCACCTGTTTCCACAGATGGACGTGAGGTTTCCCGGAGGTGCTTTCTGTTCCTCCTCTGTGGTTCCAGCAGTTCCTTGGCAAGTCCTGGGACTTTCTCTCCATCCTGACATCAGAATTCCACCCGCCCTGCTCCCCTCAGATTGCTCAGCTAGGACAGGGCCGCCCTAGTCACTGACCACCTTAGCCAGCCAGCTCAGAGAGGAACCAACCCTGCTTCCTTTCCGATACCCATGCCAGTCCAGGTGAGAGCAGGGCTCCCTGTCCTTTGAAAATGTGTGGTAGTGAGAGTAGGGTCATGGTGTGGCATGGTGGTGACACCAAGGCAAGGCTCAGACAGTGTCCACTGTGGCCCTGGGCAGAAGGATCCCCAGGGCCTGCTTCCTCTTTATTCTGCATTTCCCTCCAAGAAATAATAGGTCCATGTTCCTCCAACAGGCTCGACCCTCCTGTCTCTCCTATGCAGAAATAATAAACATTTCAGAATGATAACTCTGAATATCATACTACAATCCACACATTTTAAGGATCAGGATAATCAGAAAAGTAGTCACTTGTCTGAGTTTCCAGTGAAGCCAGGAACAGTGAGTGCCTGACTGTGTCTCTGGTCTAACTGCACTACACTGTTTCCCCAGAAAAGAGGATCACGTGAGCTTTCTTGTCCTGCCCGGACCACAGACCTTCAGTCTGGAGTCAGGCACATCCGTCTCATGTCTGACACTCACCCTGCCCTTACTTCCACACGTGAAACGGGAGGACAGAATTTCATGCCATGTTCCATAACTTTTTCTGTTTTCTAAATCCATTTCTTTTCAATATTTGAGCTCTGTTTACCACATAATACTGAAGATATGAAATTGCTTAGAGTATGCAAACTACATTCTTAACATTGAACAGTGGTTCATAACAGGGAGGCCACCTTCCCTGTTAGAAATTATTTTTGCTAACATGGGAGAAAGGTGGTTCACTTTTTAGGTGTCATCAGGGATTTTAAGAAAGTCACATCAAACTTTTAACCTTCCCAATTGATTTGTTCCCTAGCTACTACCCCCGGTGTGTAAATAGTCTCTGAAACTATGTAGCAGTTGGTCATGTAAAAACATAGATATGGACCTCTGTGTAATAATCATAATGAGTTGTCTGGGCATAGATCCGGTTATGTCTCACTTCCTGGAATTCAGATCCAGGCTCAAAGTAGAAATGAAGTATGCAGTGTAATATTTTTTATAAAGAAATTTTATAAAGTCTTATCTAACTCAGGTCTCTTGGCTGCTTGCATCTCTGGCAGACTGCCCTTCTGAAGCTGTGACTGCGTGCTTTTCAGTTTTGGCCCTCTAACTCTCTTGTAATGCCCTACTACCTCTTTGGAATAAAGAGGACCAAACTCGGAACTGCCTGGACTTTGCTTCCAGCACAGCAGCACTTGCTTCTTGAGGCCAGATTTTATGTTTCTGAAAAAGAACATTGAGTGATTTATCTAGTTGCTTTCATTTATAAGGATATTTGGGGATTTTTTATTTATGTGCTTGTCAGCAACCTCAGAAAACTTTTTTACACTATCCTTGGCTACCTACGTTCCCCAGCCTCAGCTGCTGCTTGACTGCTCAGCTTGGGGGAGAAAAATGGCGTAGGTTCACAGCTTTCCCTCCAGGGCACAAGCAGTGCCATGAATGGTTTAGAGAAGCTGTGTCAGTCCTGTCCTGAATAAGGCCACAGCAGGGAACTGTATACACCTCACTGTGCCTCCAGGCACCGTGAGATAGACTTCAGTTAGTCCTAGAAATAACAGGCTCACTATAAGTTAGATGGGGCATTATTCTTTCCACTTTACAGGAGGTAAAATGGAGGTGTAATAAACATTTAAGTTGGCAACTCAGAAGGCATCATCAGAGCCTAAAATGGACCAGCATTTTTTTCTCACGACCAACCCACAGCTCCATCCACAAAGTTTTGCACCTTTATGAAATGATAACACCTGCACATTGGTTTTTATGCCTCAGATCCCCTGCCCTGTGTGCCGTGTCAGGATGGGTGGACAGAAATTCAGCATGACCGCTGCTTTTGCATGTCCCCCTAGAGACACCTCCTGTGGCCCTGAGCTTCTGCTGAGCACAGCTGGAAAAGAACTGCTGATGACGAGAACCTGGGGAAAAAATGTCTCTAGGTGCAGGCAGAGATAAGATGTAGAATGCCCTCAGTCTTACTCTGAACTTACGTTTTAATTTAGATCCCGTGTATCCTTTCAACAATCCCGCTGGCTGCTATGCCAATGGTCAGATCCGTGCCCACGGGGACCGGTGGCGGGAGGACGACTGCACGTTCTGCCAGTGCATCAACGGAGAACCCCACTGTGTCGCGACGGCCTGCGGACAGAGCTGCATGAACCCCGTCAAAGTGCCTGGGGAGTGCTGCCCTGTGTGTGAAGGTAACCCTTGTAGATTCTAACGAGCCCCTGGCGAATATCTCGTGTTGGATAAGCTTCTACCAGTATGTGCTTGCTTGTTTTCTGTTTCCTCAGGCATAATGCCTGCTTCATGCTGTTACCAGTTGCAGATGAATTTATTATACAGCCCAAACTAATCATTTGGGGGAAATGTTACACATTTACAGTGAGAATAGTGTGGGCTTTATTTTGCCACTGCAGATAATGCTTATCTGAATACTTTACAGTCAAGGAATATATACATTTTAATTCAGTTCACTGCAAGCCTGATTAACATCCAAAGGTCAACACAATGAAATGAAATGAAATTGGAAATAAGACCCATGACTCAAAGCATAGCTTGTTCAACTTGTGATGCTTACATAAGCCCAAGAGTCCTGGCAACTAAATGAAAAACCTGGAGCCATCAAAGGTGGTTTTCACTGCCTGGAGTCTTCACCCTGAGCATCCATTCTGCTTCTAATATCACGATGGCTGTGGCTTTGCAGTTCCTTTCGGGCTTTTTCTTATGTCTTGGTTACCTGCATTCACTACCTCTCTTCCTGTTTAATGGAGAGAGCCTGAGATATCCTGGACTAGTCTTTCCATCCCAACCGCTATTCCAGGCCGTTTCCCCCATCCTGGGAAGATTCTTTGCACACTTACTCAAGTCAGCCTTAATCCTTGGTCCATGTCTGTTAGTACAGACAAGAGATTGAATATCTATACTGACAGTTCCAATAGAGAGTGTCCGTCATTAAGAAGCACATTTGCATAGTGAAATGAACTAAAGTGGGTCAAAAATTACTCCTTGTGGAAGATGGATCCTTCTAGAATTTTTTAAAACAGCTATTAAGGAACTGACAGGTCTTTTCAGAAATTCAGTCAAGTAGACTGAGTCCTCTGTCAAGAAGTCTTTTTGCTTCTACCGAAACTTTAATCAACTCAGACTTCAGAGTTTGCCTGACTGGCTTCATTAACTTCTGAGGGGTTAGAATTATTAAAGACCTTAAAAATCATATAAAAATTTAAGCTGGAGGATTCTGGTTCTATTGACATCACCAATTCCCTCACCATTACTCTACTCAGAATGCAGCTGCCACACTCCAAAACTTTATAGCTTCCAGATGAGCAATTTTGTGGAAATCACCCACCCACCTCACACATATACTCCTCCTATCCCCTGAAGGCAGTGTTTCAGTGCTGGAAAAAGGAGTGTGCAATAATATGTTTGATGATGTACGGTCAGCTTTACAAGGAAAGATGCCCTCTGAAGCTGATAAAGATGGGAATATCTATCCCTAGGAATTAGGGGCAATCTGTTATTTAAGTATTTAAGTATATGTATATTTAAGTATGTGTATGTGCATGATAATGTAAGAAAAATTAAAAACATATATAAAATCCAGTAAACAGTAATAACCCTTTAACTTCATGAGTCTTGAGTCTAGATTGAAAATAAGACTTTGAAAAACTTGTTAAAAAAAAAGTAGGGCCTTTATTCTAAAAGTAAGAAAGACAAACCCTTTGCCCTCATCTTTGGCCGTCATTAGCATATCCATTGTGGTGAGTGGAGAAGGGAAGCAGTTGGTAAATAGACAAGAATATATATTATATGTATGAGAAACTGATTTTTTATTATGTCATATAGATGTTTGGGTAGGAAGTAGATGTTAGTTTGATCACTTAGAGTTTGGTCTCTGAAACAGCTGGGTCACGTTGTAATCTTCCACTGTTTGAGAAAAGAGTGACAGTTTGGGTCAGCCATTAATTCCAAAAAATTTATTAAGAACCTTCTGTAATCCAGATACCACATCGGTCACAAAGCTAAATAAGGGATAACTCCTAGTAAACTTCAAAGAAACTATTTAGGCTCTTTTAAATTAAACCAGGAAAAACAGAATGTCTGCATTCAGGTGCTATGGGGTAAGTGCTTTTTATTTGTACCTGATTTCATTTAACCCTCACATTAACACTCTGCCAAAGACCTTATTATACCATTTTAAAGATGAAGAAATTAGGGTTTGGAGAGATTTAGATAATTTTTCCCAAGGTTAGTGGCCAATATGTGGCTGAGCTGGGATCAACTGAAGTCTGTCAGATTCAACTACATTTTTGTCTGCTTCCTCTGCTCCCAGAGGTCATCTCAGTTTCCACCTGCCCCTATTTCTAGTTCCCTTCTATCTCTCTTCGTCTCTGGCTTTTGGCCCTGTGTTGGGACACACAGGAGTTTGATGACAGGGGAGGAGATCATTTGCAGTTCGACAGCTACTCCGGGTGTTTTTGATGTGATCTCCCACCTGCCCTCTCCCCTGAATCTGAGGACCTCGGGGGAAGGATGCCTTTGAGACTCATCCTTGATTTGCTTCTCAATCCTCACATTCAGGTTGTCTCCTTCACTTCACCAGACTTGGCATCTTTATTCCAAGCTGTTAGGCTCTGCTGGTCTCAGCCTTTCAGAAGGTTCCATTGTTTAGTTCTCAGAGAACTAATTTATCTTCTGTTTCTTGTTTTTGTTTTAAAGTCAGTTAAGTAATAAGTTTCACATAAAACTGCGTTTACTCTCCAGTGACACCCTCATTTTAAGATGTGTTCAGAAGACAAAAGATTCTTTTGGCATGGGGATTAAAAAAAAACAATGTACAGCTTAGGTTAATGATCGTGAAAGTTTTATTATCTATGAATAATATTGTAATAAACTTATTTATTAATAATAATAAACTTACAAAATAATGCAAGGCAAATAAATCTTATTGCTTAGTTTTCAGGATCCAAGAAAGACTCTGGAAGTATTCAAAAATATTTTTCTCAGCAGTCATTCAATAGCCTATTTAAATAGAATTTCAAGTGATTTCCGAAGAGCCAAAGGATTAGACAGAATAAGAAAAAAGCAAGGCATTGTTGTGTAATAAATAATCAGCCAGAATTATTTGGAGGAAACAGTAAGACTGGTATTTATGCAGTTTATACACAGTAGATTCCTCTGTGCATAGTGGCATAACAAATGTTGGCTCTCACCCTTATTAGCTACAGTCCCAAGGTACATAGTCAGAGTCTGAAATTTGATGAAAGGGACCCCACACAAGGATTGTGGGTTTAGATTCTTCCTAAATAAATTACTGCATCACCAAATATAGTGTGTTTGGACCTTCAGGGAGGAAGAACCTTGTTGTGACTGCTGTTGTTATTAGAGATACATACCTTCCAAATGACAACATAATGTGCTTGGTTACTCCTGGAGGACTGGGAATGTGAACCTGGGGGCCCTTAAAGACTATGCTGTTACTTGACAGCTAACTCAATTCACAAGTACCTGAGTGCTGTTTAAATTGGCACTTGAGTACTCTCTTGATTAAGTCTTAGCAAGTTAGTGTCAACACCCAATTCAGGTACACAGATAAGCCTTCCCAGTCTGTAAGTCTATAACTGATTGTATTCTTATGGTTTGTTCTATTGGCTTTTCTCTACATCTCCTCTTGCTCATCAATTGCATTATTTTTATTTTCTGGCCCTTGTAAAAAGCTAGAATGGAAACACATGGAATATCAGATAAAGTTTGCATATGGGAGATATGTCCTTATTTTCTTACAAACTAAAAACAAAAAAGGAGGGCAGCAGAATTGTCTTCCTCGGCATCTAGCACCATTTGCATCATCTTGTTTGTAGCCCTTAATGAGAGTAGCTGACATTTCTTGCACACTGTGACTGTGAGCCAGGCCTCAGTGCTTTAAGAGCATCAGCCCATATGATCCTCACAGCTACCCTCTTGTGCAGGTACTGACATCCCAATTTATGATCACAGAACCCAAAGTTCAGAAGTCATGTAACTTGCCCAAGGGCCTACAGCTCGGAAGTGGCAGAGCAGTGTATCTCCAGAGCCCTGGCTCTGGACCCCTGCAAGGATACTGTCTCTGAGACAGAGCGCACTTATTGACCAGTAGCCTAAAAGAGGCTGCGTCCCCCATGAGCTAGGATTTACCGTATGCTTTTGAATCCCTAAAACAGCACCTGTCATGTAAGTAGGTGCTCAAAAATGGTTAATGAATGGATGATGAGTGAGTGAGTTAGCGAAGGGGGAAAAGACTGGAGTAAGACAGCAGACGCTGGTAGAGGGTTTCCTTAACCAATGCTGTTAAAGGGGTCAGATGCTGACCTCTGGTGAACTGAAGGAAGATTAATGTATAAATGCTTCTATTTGAAAATGCACTTTGAGAACAGAAAGCAGAGTGTTATACGAAGTATGTTTGGCACACGGTGGGTCCAGACGCCTACAGGTGAATTGGACCAGTTAGCTTCAGATTGACTGCTCACCCTCCTGATTGAGCACGTAGCTCTCGACTCCCACCCAGGGGCAGCCTTCCAAGACTGATTTGTAAACTGTGGTTTATCCTCTCTCAGTTCAGCCCCTGAAGTCCAGAATCACAGAATTAAAGTGGGCCTTCTCCAGACCCTCCAAGGCTAGTAATGCTCACTGTCACATTTAATGTACTGCTCTTAAGACCTGCGCTGGGAGTGTGTAAGTGCCACTGCCTTGTTTTCAGCTAGACTTTTTTTTTTTAATATCACAGTTAGGTATTGAGAATAATTTGCTAGTTGATTTCCCAGTAATGCCAGGTATAAATCCTATCTAAGTTGATTCTTAATGTCAGAGGGACCCTAAGGACAGGGTGCCATTTTCCCCTAAGGACAGGGCGCCATTTTCCATGAAAAAAAATATCCATTTGTTTTATAATTAAAAGTAATATAAGGGGGCTTCCCTGGTGGTGCAGTGGTTGGGAGTCCGCCTGCCGATGCGGGGGACGCGGGTTCGTGCTCCGGTCCCGGAGGGTCCCACATGCCACGGAGCGGCTGGGCCCGTGAGCCATGGCCGCGGAGCCTGTGCTCCGCAACGGGAAAGGCCACAGCAGTGAGAGGCCCGTGTACCGAGAAAAAAAAAAAAAAAAAAAAGTAAGATAAGGTGTTGGGGAGGGAAATACTGGCTTCATGATGTAATGACATGACCG